TTCTAAGAACTACAGAGATAATGTGAAATCTGACTCAGCATGTTTGCTGGTGGTAAAAATATACTTTAAAAATTATCATGCATATTTTAAGAAAAGCCAAATGAGTACATTAATAGTATTAGAAACAAAGATTGTGTCATGGTATAAAAAGTACATACCAGTATGTTTTGTAAATCTCCTACCATATTAAATTTAACTAAAAATAGAATAAAATTGTAAAAGATTTTTTTCCTCGCTCTATTTATAGGAAAAGCCCAGTGGCAATGAAATCTGGTAGCACAAACACAGCTAGCTCTAGATTTCTAAACCTCACTTTCTACCCATTGCAAGAAAGCAGGTCACCTTGCAGAAATGGCTGAACCCAGATTTAGGGCAGAGAAAGTATAGAACAACCTGGGATCCCCTCTGCCTACAAAGGTAAGAAATGCCATGAATCACAACAAGAGGACACAGGGAGCTTATTGCATCAACTTCCAATGTTTACTTTTGGACAGCTGGGCTTTCAAAATATGGTAGTTATAAGCAGTTATTTAAAAATAAATATTATTTCATTTTACAATGAAATTTAAAATGAAAGAAAAAGGTAATGAAAAAGATCTTCTCTATATAATAATGCCTGTTAACAAATATAAAAGCAATTAAGGAACTAGAAAGTCACCATTTTGAAACTTCTAAGATAAACACTGGCTTAGACAAATACCATCAGTTAATGTCAAAACCCATCTGGTGAAAGGTTTCTGGAAAACTCAGTTACCGCAGAGCTTAGTTACTAATTCAAAGGAAAATACTCATGTGTGGGCTCTTGGGGCGGGCTAGCCATCAGCTTGACAAATCAATCAGACCCAGTACTGCTCTCATTGGAGGCCTGCTCTCCTGTGCCTTACCTGACACAATGTGAAATGCACAACAAAATCCACAACATACTCCTGGAAAATTAGTTCAGCCAAATATAATCAATTCTTCAGGCCAAATTAAGGGACACCATGAAGATACAGGGAAACGCAGAATGTGACATATTCTCAAAGAAAGCTGAGTCATATCAACTAAATGAAGCACAGGAATCTAGATTAAACCCATGTTTTGTTTCAAAACATACCAAAGATACTCATTGGACAACTGAAAATATCAAATATGGGCTGACTATAATATGATATTATTGAACACTGTTAAACTTTTAGTTATTATCGAAGTGTTGTGATATTGGAAAAGTGTTTTTTTTAGAAGATGCATTTTAAAAGTATTTAGGGGTTAGTTAATATATCTATAGCTTAATTTCAAGTAATCTATAGGAAATATACATATATATATATATAGAGAGAGAGAGAGAGAGAGAGAGAGATTGGGGGTAATTATAGCTAAAAGTTAACACTTTTTGAAATTAGGTAGGGGTTATCTGGATATTTGTTAAGTTGTTCTCTTTTAGGAAGCCTTAAATTTTTTATAATAAACAGTTAACGTATAGTCTAAGTATCTGCCTGGTATGCACAAGGATCTGGGTTTGATCCCAGGTTCTACATGCCATGCCAGTCCTGCCCTTGGCTGAACAGGCAGCTGAAAATAGGAGCGGTGGTGCATGCCCGTAATCCCAGCACTTGGGAAGGCTGAGGTAGGAGGACCACTCCAAGTCTGAGATGTGTAGTGAGGTCTTGTACCAAATAAATAAATAAATCTTTAACAAAACTAATGCAAGAAAATGTAGTAATGCAAAAAGTTATACTTGTTTTGAAAAATTAACATTGAAGTAAAGAATAATCTAAGAAATAGGTAGAGCAGAAACAAAATAAAATCCAAGAGGAGTAGATCAAGAATTTTAATATGTGTATAACAAACACAGCAGAAAGAGAGAAACGGAAAATTCTCAGTGAGAAATTATCAGAAAGATGGGTTCAGCGGCACACACCTGTATTCCTAGCACTCAGGAGGCTGAGGCAGGAGGATGGCCACAAGTTTAAGGCCAGTGTGGACTACATAGTGAGCTCTAGGCTCACTTGAACTGCATAAGGAGACCCTACCCTTAAAAACAAAAAAACAGGGGGCAGGGAGATAGCTCAGTGAGGTAAGTGCTTGCCTGGTAAGTGCAAGGTCCTGAGTTCAATCCCTGGTACCACCAAAAAATAAAAAAATAAAAAAAAATAAACAGAGTGATACGATGTGGACGCTTTAGTGTCTGGCTTCTTTCACTTACTATGCTGTATCTGCTCTTCATCCATGTTATTGGGACCGGGGAGATGGCTCAGTGGAATAAGCACTTCCCTGGCAAGCACAAGGGCCTGAGTTCAATCCGCAGTTCCGCCAAAAAAAAAAACAAAACACAAAATGAGAAATTATCAAAGAAAAGATGAGATACATTTCACAAAGCTGAAAAGTACAGTTGTTCAAATTGAATGGTTACAGCGAAAGTGGGACAAGTAAAAAGACTAAGACTGAGATTCTTCCTACTGATATTTCAAACATCCAAAGACAAACAGAATATGAAGCATGCACATAAAGGATAATGAGCACATCAGTGCCTGTTTTGTCATGAATGCTAAAGTCATGCAATAAGGTTTTATAAACCAGAGGGAAAATAATTTTGCATGCTAAATTCACTATCAATTCAAGGAAGAATCCAAAATAAAATCATTTCCAACTCAAACATTTACTGTCCAGACACTCTTCCTTAGGAATTACTTGAACATGTCTATTGGCAAAATAAAAATAAAATTCAAAATACTGAAAGTTGTAGGTTACAAGAAATAGTGACCATTCACATCCCAGGTTCATTGTTACACATCAGATCAACCAAACAATCCAGAAATTCACATAGAAAGTCAAAGAAATCCACAAAAACCATCATTAAAAAAAAACTATCACTGCTCACTTCAGTAGCATATATACTAAAATTGGAATGACACAGAAAAGATTAGGATGGACCCTGCACAAGAATGACACACAAATTTGTGAAGCGTTCCATAGTTTTTGGGTGTAACATGAATTACACATTCTTAATGTTAGTGGATTTCAAACTATGGAGAGATGGATTATTATATGTTTCTTAATAACTAACTTTTTAAATTATACCATGAATGACCCAGCGTGCTTTGGGTAAGATGTTATTAACTATCACTAGTTTCTTTTCAGTTGTAGGAAGAGCTAACAAAAAAAAAATCTTAAAATTTATCCAATGATATTTTGACAATAAAAATAAAATGACTATGATTTGAAATATCTGAAAATTAAAAAAAAATTTTAAAACTATCAGAAAAAAAATAAACTATCAGCCAGTTGCAAATGAGCAAATAAGAAGCTTGGAAACTTCCACTCTGTGTCAATAAGTAAAATGCTGAACAAACGGAAAGATCAACAACTCTTCTCGGCTACACAGAAGAAGAACTGGGGACATAGCTGGGGCTGGGGAATCTAACTGAGCAGGGCAGCACCTGCCTGGCAAGTGAAAGGTCCTGAATTCAATACCTGGTACCCACCCAGAAAGAGACAAGACGAGACGGGACAGGACAGGATGGGACAAGACAGCAAGATTTCTCAGCAGACGAAGTGCCTGCCTAGGCAAGCACAGGGACTGAGGTTCCATCCCCAGCACCACAGGCTGTGCTGGCCCAGTCCCCAGGAACACTGAGCCTGCCACCAAGTCCTGAGATGGTGGCACATGCCTGTAATCCCGGCGCTGGGGAGGCTGAAAGTAGGAGGATCGCTATGAGTCTGAGCTATGTAGTGAGACCCTGTACCAAAAACATGAAATTAAAAAAAAAAAAAAAGAAAGAGAGAGAGAGACAAACAAAGAAAAAAAGAAAAAGAAAGCCACAACTGTACACAGAAGAACTCAACTAACATGTCAAACCACTGCCCTAAAAATTAGAGAGACAGACACAAAGAGATAATCACAATTTACCAGAATGGAAATGTTACTGGCAACCAGTACACAGCAGGGATGCTGCAACTAAAACTGGTGAAACGGCAAAGACTCATTGTGTAAGTCTGAAAGAAAAAAAACTTATGGGCCCCACTCCTTTGGGAACCCACAAAATTTGAGATGTACCTTTTGGATGTGAGACCTTAACGACCTTAACCAGGTCATTAAATATCAGACAGAAATCCCCTTCTGTGTGAACCCACCAGAGGGGAAAATAAGCAGTGTTAAAACATGAATCATACTGTGTTGATCAAAAGAAAGTTTGCCCTCAGCAGAAATTGTTTGATCAGATCCTAGGTAAGGTTTTACCATAGCATTAACTAAGGGAAGAAGGGAAACACCCAGCACAACTCACTCAAAACATCCTAGCCCAACTTAAGAAGGAAACTCTTTAAATGTACTTATTAAACTCACCTTCCAGAAAAACTGGGATGATGGGCCGGCAAGATAGCTCAGCAGTCTAAAGCGCCTGTTTAGGCAAGCTTAGGCAGACACAGAGGACCGCGGTTCAATCCCTGGCACGCCAACCCAGCCCTCAGGGCAAGCTCAGATAACCAAGAAGAAAAATTGGGATGAAGAAAAGGTTTAAAAAAAGAAGGCGAAAAGATATCTAATGCATATATGCAGGACAGTTTGGATAATTGTACTGCTCATTTCTGCTGGTCTATTGAAAGGAGCAGTTAATGCTTAACTTTTTTTATCCTTTTTTTAAATTTCTTATAACTTTCTTTTTGCTGTTGTTTCATTCTGGTTTTTTAAACCAATTTTGCAGGTTTATATCTGGTAATGTAAGCAACTAATATGAAGATAACATCATGTAACCATTGTTGAATTCCTATTACTTTGTTTAATGAAATTAGAGCTGATCATTTGTGCCATACTGAAAAAAAAAAAAAAAAAAAAAAACCTCACCTTCAAGAGATACAAATTCAACAAAAGACAGAGACCTCATCACAGGACTGCAGTATACTTGCCTTCCTCAGACATCTTTCCACCGCATTGCAAATAGCCGTTTTTTGCAGTACACATTTGAAAGACATGATTACGCTCCTTGCGGGGAGTTCACACACATACACAATGCATTTTAATTCCTTTTCTCATTGCCTTTTCTTCCTGTACTTCCCTACTCTCTCAAATTATTGATTCCCTTCGCAGTTGAGAAAGATCGACCTCCCTACATTCTATTGTCTTTTACTTTGCTCTTCATTTATTTTGGGTTTCTCATATAATAGAAGCTATGCGATATTTAAGGTTGTGTACATTATTTACTTCACTTAATATGGTCTCAAGGTGCTTATTTCCCCCCCAAAAAAAATGATTCAGGTTTATCATTCTTAATGGCATAGTAGTACTACAGTGTATACAAATTCCATATTTCCTTTATCCATTCATCTGTTGATGGACACATGGGTCATTTTCAAGATTTAGCCATTATAGATTGTGCTGCTATAAACATGGGAGTGCATGTCTCACTTTAATCTGATGACTTAAACTTTTTCAGAAAAATGCCTAGAAGGGAAATAGGTCAGATGAAATTCTATTTAGTTTGTTGAGGACTCACCACATTGATTTCTGTAGTAGTTGTATAGTTTACATTCTGCGCCCCCCCCAACAGTGTAGATTTTCTGTTTCCCTGAGGTCTGACTAGCGTTTGTTATTAACTGATTTCTTTTCTTTTTTTTTTTTTTCTGTATTTTAGGGAAGGGCTTACAGGGTGTTCAGGGTCTCACTACTAGATCGGACTCATAGTGATCCTCCTGTTTACAGCCTCCCAAGTGCTGGGATTACAGCCATGCACCACCATGCCCAGTCTCAATTGCCATCTCAGCACACTCCAGGGGTAGGGACAGCATGGCAGGCCCAGGGATCAAACCCATGGCTCCTGCACCTGCTTGTAGGCACTTTAATCTGCTGAGTTATGTGGCTGGCCATAACTGATTTCTTGATGGTCATCACTTTTTTCTAGAGTAAGAGGGAATCTCCATGTTGTTTTAATTTGCGTTTCTCTAATGACTAGAGAAGTTAAACATCTTTTTCATGTGTTTATTGACCATTTGTCCTTCTTCTTTGAGATACCTATTCATTCCACTTGTCTATTATTTTATTAAGTCTTTCATTGTATGGGTCTAATTTTTTGAATTCTTTGTATATTCCATGTGTTACTCTTCTCTGAGGAACAGCTGGAAAAAAAAATGTTTTCCATGCTGCAGGCTCCCTTTTCACTCTTGGTTGTTTCTTTTCCTATGCAAATCTTGTCACTTTGACATAATCCCATTGTTGATTCTTTGCACTATTTCCTGTGTAACTGAAGTTCTGCCCAGAAAGCCATTGCCTATGCCTATGACCTCAAAAGCTTTACATATTTTATTTTCCAGCACATTGTTCTATTTTAGCACATAGTTCTTCCATCCATTTTTATTTTAGTTTATTATATGGTGGGAAACATGAATCTAGTTTAAATATTCCACATGTGGCTAGCCAATTGACTCAATACTATTCATTAAAGAGACTATTGCTCCTCCAATATATGTTTTTCCCCTTCCCCAAAGATCAAATACTCAAATGTGCTTGGGACAGTTTTTCTATCCTCTATTCTATCTCATTGATCTTTGTCTCTGTTTTTGTATCAATCCTACGTCATTTTATCACTGTTAGCTTTGTCATATAATTTCAAGTCTGGGTTGTGATGCGTCCTGCTTCGTTCCTGTTATCCAGGGCTGTTTTTGCTATGCTCAGTCCCTTCTAGTCGTATATGAATCTTAGGATTGTTATCTCCAGTTCTGTGAAGAATATTATTACCATTTTGATTGGCATTGCATGAAATTTCTATATTAATTTTGGAAGTATGCCCATTTTGACTATATTTCTTCTGCCTATCTAGTAATAGGGGATATCTTTCCATTTTCTGATGTCCTGTTGTCCTCTTCAATCTACTTTCTCTGATTACTATAATCTCAATTGTAGAGGTCTTTCACTTCTTTAGTTAAGGCACCTCCTAAGTCTCAAATTTTCCTTGGTGTTATTATAAATGACATTTTTTTTCATAAATTCTTTTTCAATGGATTCATGATTACTATATGGGGATGTTGTTGATTTTTGTGTGTTTATTTTGTACCCCACCACATTGTTGAATTATTTGGTTCTTAATTCCAAGAGTCTTATTCTTTAATCAGGGGAAAGTGTGAACACAATCCCCTTATGACCACAAGTCATATAGCTGAGTTCCCCACATTTGGGAAAATTGCAGGGGTCAGCACACCCAGAGTGCAATACCAAGAGTCTTTTGTCAGATTTGGGGGGTTTCTTGGGGGGCGTTAATTTCTATTTCATTAGTTCATGTTTATAGTGCTTGAAATTTGCATTTATCTTGAGACATAGTACATATATGTAACATATTTGTTTCTTTGCTTGATTCTCTTCCCTTCCTACCTTCCTCTATTCCTCTGTCTCTAAATCTTTGTTCCCTATTTCAATTTTTTGCCATTACTATTTTTAGCACAGGTGTGCAATTTACATTCATTTTGGAGGTATTTGGTACCTGAATACAGCATATCTTGGTTCTTCATCTCCCTGCCCTTCCCCCATCCCTTTGTCAGCTGAATCCTTTCCCATTTGCAAAAGATCTATCCTCTTGCCTCCTTCTATTCAACATTTATTTTGCTCCTTTTTATACTTAGCCTCACTCAAATGAGAGATGCCTATGATGTGCAGGCTTACATGTCTGATTTATTTCATTCAACGTTATATTTTTTAATTGCATTCATTTTCCTATCTCAAATTCATCCTTCTTTACAGTGAGTAGTATTCCATTATATACAGATACCACATTTTCTTTATTAATTTTTGGGTCTGCTATGTATGTGTCATCTGAAAATAATGACAATTTGACTTGTTCTTTTCCTGTACACATCTCTTTTCTTTCTTTTTTTTTTACCTGATTGTTCTTGCTAATGTTTCATGTACTATATTAAACATAAGTAGAGATAGTGGACAACCCTGTCTTGTTTGCAATTTTAGAGGGGAAAATATCAGCTTTTCCCTATTTAATG